TATAATTGGATAAATTCGGCATATGAAAACACCAAAATCAATGATTTTTTTCAGTGGCTGTGTGACCTTGTGTCTGAAACATTCATATGCAAATGACTAATCTGTGAAACAAACAGGGGCAGAGACAAACCACTCAAATGTTTGGAAACACTCATTGTGTGTCAGATAGCTACTGATAACACATCCTAACATTGCTTTGTCTTGAAACTTATAGGCACACAGATTAAACCTGTGTTGTTGATTTTGGAAAACACTACTGAGGCTGCCTTGCTTCCCTTCAGAAAATCTACATTTTAACCAACTTACATGACATTCTATGTTATGTTGACTTTATCACATGAAAGTTTATAGTGCATTTCATCAATTAATAAATAAATGTGAAAATCGTAATTTTCAACACAAATAATAGTCTCGCTACCTTAATTCAGAACATAATCACTCTACTGGAACGGTTAGCAAGTGCAGCGTCTTTCTATTGTAACTACCCTTGTCTCCATAAACATTGAAACAAAAGAGGTGTTAACGAGCTATGAAGTCATTAGTATAACACGGGCGACGAAAAACGCAAGATAATTCATAAAACAGTGCGAGAGTTGCGTCATTTTTTCCCACAAAGCATTGCAATACATGGCACTTTGACCTTTCATCGAAGAGCAGTGTCAAACGCGGAAATAAACATGCTTTGTATATAAATATTTTTCCAGAGAAAATCTTGCTGTCTTGTATGGCATTCTGAAATTATTAATAGTTAATAGAATACTACATTAGTGAATCTCCCCAAAAAATTCGCACACACAAAATCAATCCGAATATTTTACCCTGTCTCGCCCCTGTCTCGACTGAATCAAAGAGCAGTGCGAACATGCTGAACTACCGGTAAATCGATCATAAAATTGTCACAAAGCAAAGTCATAACAAAAAATATTCAAACAAAACTAAAAATAACTCGTAGCACCGATACAGCTGAACGGGATTTGTATCAGTCGTCAAATAGAGCGAATGGAGGGATATGAAAGCACAACAATCAAAAATCTTTCGTATGATTACTTCCACTGAAAACCATGCAATAAAGCAACATGGCGACCACCTCCATAGACGAGGAAAACATGCAAAACTTCGCCATAAAGTGACTATAAAAACACACAAAAATAGCGAAAAGGGACAAAGGAATATTGTAAAGGTTTGCAGACAGCAATGTTTTTACCGGTAAAATTGTTTCTAAACTGAGCGAGGGGTTTATTTTACGGGCTGAAAGACTGTTAGAGATCGAGACAAAGAGACTGTCAACAAAACACCGTTTTTCTCGAGTAAATCATCTTCAAGATTGCAAAAGAATGCTCATCTGTAGAATACAATATCACTCCTAGTCACAGTTCAGTTGAGATTGTAGTTTGATGTAAAAATAAAGCACAATTTCAAAAAGTTCACGATCGTCTTGAGCAACACCAAACGCAATGAATAATGGAGAAAAATAGCGCCCTCCGATGACAATTACGTCATAGTTTTGAGACCAGTGTAGGTTCTCAGAAGCTGCTCGTTCACATCTTTTAACAATAGCACTTCCTAACCATCCTAGTAAAGTGACTGTTCAGAAGAAAAACCTATAAGCTGTACAGAAAAATAAAGTTTTGCTGGCTTTGCATTTGATTTAATTTGTAATTTGGTTAAAGTTTGTAATGCTGTTTGGAAGATCCTGATTACCTGGTATTGGCAGGAATCTACTGGATCCAGATTTTCTTGATGTTACATTTGATATACACTAGTCAAATCACATGATGGTAATGACATGCAAACCACAAGATTGTAGGGAGAGTGGTTTATGTAAGCATTGGGTGATCATGATTTACATACATTTCCTTTCAAGGCTAGTGATCAATATTGAGCAATTTGTGTAAAATTTACCTAATTTTGATATAACTAATTTGTGCCACAGCTGTCAGGAATGCAGGAGTTCCAGTGTAGCTTAATTTGTAGTCATTTTCTTGACAGTACTTTGATCTTTTCAACCATAACCGCATTATGACACATAACCATGGAAATTCACCCATTGGCCAATTTAAAACAATTACCTGACAAATAACCCAGTTTTTCATATCGCTAATTTTGTTTTCCCATTGTGTTATTACAGTCAGCTGTCCCTTTATGGTGGTAATAAAGCTAGTGCCGCCAAGTTCTCCACTTCCGGGGTTGATGGGAAACTGGTCATATGGGACATAAAGGTGAGAGTTATTTCTATGAAACATTCTGATAATTACAATAAATGTGTGTGCATCAACAACAGGCAGACCGAGACACTATCCATTTACTTCAGAAATTTGTGATAAAATTTCCAATGTTTACTATTTAGGGGATGAATTTTCCTCTTCGTTTTTTTTTTTTTTTTCATCAGCTTTGTTTTATAGAACTGCTGAACAAATTGATCTCAAACTTTCTATACTAATAGGGACTAATGTTGACCAGTGTTCCCCACTTTTCAGAATTTTAATTTTTCATGTGGTTTGGCGGCCATGTGGTTTAAAGCAAAACCGGAAGTGGTCCCATTTAACACACTTCCGATGGTTTCAGCGCTGTGAGATTTGTTTTGTAGCATCTTCCAATGTCACAAATAAAAAGTATTATAGCACATCACATTTTTGCACCATAAATAATATTACAATAAATGGCATTAAATGCTTTTAAATCTTTTTCTTCAGAACCACTAAATACTCTGAAATTTGGTACGTATCATGTATGTAACGAGTACATTCAAATTTTTTAGCAATTGGTCATGTGGTTCAGTGACTATGCTGGATTTAAAAAAAAAAAACGGAATTGCTCTTTTTATCATATTTAAAGGGCCTCAGCACAGTAATTTTATTGTTGTGGCATCACTGATATAATTTTCTACAAAAAATCACAAATAAAAAGTATAGCACGCCACGTGACTTTTTGCACTATAATGAATTATATCCAAAAAATGCCATAAAATGCTTTTAAAGAATCTATTCCAATTGAAATTTGGCATGCAGCTTGTATGTAATGAGTACATTGCTGCTTGTAAATTTGGTGTTCGGTATCAATGCTTGATTTTCAAGGACCTGTAAACCTGTGCTATTTACCTTACTTGTTCGACTTAGCGCCCAGATTACTAACAATATCATGCATATATAAACGAATAAAATGCTTATCAGTTTATTTAATAACCATTAAAATCATAGCCTAACGTGTATGCGTGAGTAGACTCTTGCCGGCCAAACGGCATCAGACCTGACTAACGCCTGACCAAAAAGTGTATGTCTCGTCGGCAAGATCAATACTGCAATGAATGTCAATGAATATTCATTTTGGTGGTTATGGTAACACTGTCAATCAAAGCCGTGTTTGCATTGTCGGCAAAAATCACAGACCGTTTTGAACAAGATGATTTGCCAGCACCTTATCACACATTACATCAACAAACAAATAAACTCTGTTGTTAATGGTTTGATGATTGTTTGATTTTGATTGGTATCGACAAAAAATCGTCGGGGAAATTGAAAACTACATCGTTCTGTCAGGCATGTGTTGGGTTTGGAGCACCGCGGAGGGCGCAACTCGCACGATTCATCAGGCTACTAAAATCACTAATCTGAAATTTGCTTGCAGCATGTATGTTCCAATCTTGGGAATAACTTAATGATTGGTTGTACCAGGGTTGGTATTGTGAGACTCATGGTAACACTTTATTCATAAATGAATGTTATCTGTGTTGAAGTCATCCATTATAGGACAGCATGTTTTAGTTTTCTTGTTTCCAGAAGATGTATTAATGCATGTGTAATTTCTTTTCAGTCATTGGAGTCTGCAGTAGCTGGCTTACGCATAAAGTAAAAGATACAAGAAGGACCCATATGGCAAAATATATTGTCACAGTCATTACTATTCTAGACATTTGTCTTTAGTTCTACATTTATCGTAGGGGTAACATCACCTTGTAGCTATAGATGCATAATGAAATGTTTTGGAAGTGGCAGCCATTTTGTATCTACAAGCTTTGAATCATGGGAAAATTACACGACCACATGTGACAAATATGAACAGTAAATTATACAGTTCTAAAGTATGTTTCATATAATTGTCTAATGAAATTCTATAGTACAACAACCGAAAACCCTATAAAACTTCTATGAGAAATATTCTATAACAATTCTATAAAAATGTTGAAAGAAATCCTATCAAAGGTTCTATAGAATATAGAATCTACTTTCATTACTACAAGTAACAAAACTTGCCAGCAACTGTGTTTTATGTTACTGTAGACATCTTGCACCACTATACTCAAAGTTTACTCTGTATTGTGATTTTTTGGTTACATTCCTCTTTAATACTGGGTCCGGAACATTCTCATTTTTCGTAAATAAAAGTTATGTTAAACTTGAAACTAGTCTAGTCTCTCTTAGTCTGTTGTATGTAGACTTTTCTCTCTTAGCAATGTATAAAGTTGCACTTCTTGAAATTATCTCGTAATTGCTCTATTTGTAGTGCATGTGCTTATGTAAACGTGACTACATGTATAGTCAAATTTTTTAATCAAAATAAGTTATATTTTTACTGATCCAAAAGACAATGCATACAACTGTTAGTTTACATGTGCTTCTAATAGAGCAAATGCAGTTGTATTATTATTTATAATCTTCGACTACTGTGTGACATATTTTATTTAATATGAAGTGCATATAATGACAAGAGGGACTGTGTTGGTCTCATGCCATCAATTAGGCTATCAGTGTTGATGGAATAGATTCAGATCTTATGGTTGTTGGTACCTACCGTAGTAGTCTGAGTTGTTACCCAATGGGTTTTCTTTCACCACATTTTATCTAAAACGCGCTGTATGAAAGCATACTTCAATTACGTCAACTTGCGTGTGTAGCTTTATTTATTTGTGATAACCTGTGGATGTGGGCAACTCTCAATTAGACCCTTCCATACTGGCTGCTTTTCTAAGAATCTAGGATTCTGGAATAGTGAGGGCTGATAAGTTGACTGAAGGCCGAGTTCGCAGCAAGGGCGCGAAGCCTTGTTGGTTGTTAAAAATAGGGGGGGGGCTTCTAAATCCGCCCTCTAAATGTAAAAGGCAGAAAGCCTGACAAATCTATGTGTTTTGTTTACATCTATTTTGTAGGAGTTTGAGCTGGCCAACATGTGTTTTACTGGCCAGAATTATGTTAAATATATGTGGTTTTAACAAACTAAAACCATATTTTGATCATTGTAACGTGTTTTTTGGGAGAAAATCACCCAAACACTAACATTGTTGGCTATGTGAAGATCTAATTGGTGGTATGAGCCATGTACCTCCTCCCAAACCCTTGACTGCAGAAATATAAGAGACTGTGATGTATCTAGTCTTATTTGGTGTTACCTGTTTACAACTGTGGTCTATATACAAATTATAACCCTTGATAACACACCTTTAATTACCTATATACTAGCAAAATTCTATTATACCAACAACTTTGAGGTCAACTACAAAAAACTATGCATATAAAACATGCGGATATAGTGTGGATTTGCCAGTCTCTCAGAGATTACCAACATGACATCCAAACAAACCGGAAAGTATTATGATTGAAATGGGAACAAAACATGAAATGAAAAATGGGTATCATATGTCATTGATCAAATCACAGTCCTCCATATCCGGTTAGCAAACTCTCCCTGTTCTATTGTGAATGGACTACTTCCACATTAAGTGGGTATGGGTGTGCAGCCCACCTCTTGTAAACCATACTCACTTCTAAACCAAGTTCGCAAGCGCCGATGGCGCGAAGCCTTGTTGGTTGTTAAAAATAAGGGGAGCCCCCCCCCCGGCCCCCATCTAAATCTGCCAATGTTTTATTAGGTTGCTACTTGACTATCAGGAAAGTGATATCAACTGCATATTCTGAAATTTGAATGGTTTTAACTAACAAGTCAGAATTTGAAACGTCCTTTGTTCATAAGTCTGTGAATATTTATGAATGTGCGGTTCTATAGTTCGTTGGGCAAACGTGTATCTCTGATTGTGAACTTCCTGAATTTTGGACACATGCTCATCTAAACTACTGACGAGTAGTATTGATTGATCAATAAAATTACACGGTAAATGGGTGGTAACGGTAGTTCTCTTTTTGGAGGATGTGGTGGCCCTGAAAAGGGCCGTTTGGTTTGTGTATGCTAGGCATACAATTTACTTGGATTTTGCTTGGGTTTTCTTGGGCAGAAGTACAGCCTGGATGTTAGGCAGCACACCACCTTGTGCGATGGTTACACCGGACATCAATTTGTTCAATTCTTCGTCGTTGCGGACAGCCAACTGCAAGTGACGAGGAATGATCCTCGACTTTTTGTTGTCGCGGGCGGCATTACCGGCCAACTCGAGGATTTCAGCGGCTAAGTACTCGAGTACGGCAGCCAAGTAGACTGGAGCACCGGCACCGACACGCTCGGCATAGTTGCCCTTTCTCAGGAAACGATGTACACGACCAACTGGGAACTGCAGACCAGCACGGCTGGAACGAGTCTTAGACTTTCCCTTTGCTTTGCCTCCTTTACCACGACCAGACATATTGAAGTACAAGTAAGTAAGTTTGATGAGAAACTATGATATTTGTCGGTTTATTTGCGGTATTTATAGCACCCGCCCGGATTCTGAGCGTATTTTATCTCAGCCAATCAGATAGCAGCAATGAATGGCCTCGATTGTACAGTATATTGTCAAGGGTCAATAGTGGGTACACAATGTAATTTAGATATACTTAAAATTGTGTGTTCTCTTGCGTTCGTTATGTTTCCCGCTTTGCTTGTCGAATCCTTCATTTGCATGTAATTCACTATATATAGTGGGTTGGCTGACGTTACTGGCATTCCGAACATTGTTTTCTGACGTTCAACATGCCTCCCAAAGCAAGCGGTAAAGCAGCAAAGAAAGGCGGTAAGGCTAAGGCCGCCGCTCGTGGTGGGGACAAGAAGAAGAGAAGGAGGGGAAGGAAGGAATCCTACGGTATCTATATCTACAAAGTGTTGAAGCAAGTTCACCCTGACACCGGTGTCTCTTCCAAAGCCATGTCTATCATGAACAGCTTCGTCAACGATATCTTCGAGCGTATCGCATCAGAAGCTTCCCGTTTGGCTCACTACAACAAGCGTAGAACCATCACCAGCAGAGAGATCCAGACCGCCGTCCGTCTCCTGTTGCCTGGTGAGCTCGCCAAGCACGCCGTCAGTGAAGGCACCAAAGCCGTCACCAAGTACACCAGCTCCAAGTAAATTGTATGCCTCTAGCGTACACAAACCAAACGGCCCTTTTCAGGGCCACCACATCCTCAAAAAAGAGAACTACCGTGGATGTATTTGTGTTTTGTTTGCTTTACTTTACGCCTTCTAAAGTTGACATTTTAAACACGTACTGGGAAGGTGATGTGTTCATGGATATGTAACAGTCGTAAACATTTACACAAAACAGCAAGTTGTCCCATAAATAAATAAATCTGTCCTTGGGCGTAGGGTAAGCTCATAACAACATTCCTATTTTAATAATGACAGAAAACTCGTCAAAAATTCCAAATTATAGCTTTGAAATACTTTTTTTTTGTAACGCAACATCGGTCTTGTGCATGGAGCTAAAATGGTCTTGTGATAGGGAATAAATTCGGACCAACCATCAAAATCAAACATGATTTACATGGGTCTACGCATGGAACTATAAACCCATGGTCTACGTAACGGTCTCGTTGTCAGTGCCAGTAAAAAAACGTGGTGATGTTTAGAACTATATACATGTATATAGGCAATAGTGGTGGCATGCATCTGTGGGTGTGCTTGTGTGAGTCTCAGACTTGTACTACTAGTCCGAGTGTGAGTGAAGGACAGGCGACTTTGATTGCGTTTATTTTGTTGTGTCTAGCAACCGAAAGACCACGCCGACTTTGTTTTGGCTGTAAGATTGTATCAAAACTATTAGAGCGTACAATAGTGGTAGCCAATTTGAAATATAGAAACATGGTTGGGAGAAATACACTGTGGCAGATTATTTTTATATTCTGAGGGCATGACTGAATAAAGAATTGATTATGAAATCACGCAAATGTTTGTATCCCCTCAACAAAGCGAAGTATAATTCGCATACATAATACACTGGTGCGATCAAAGAGGACACTAACCCTATGAAACTAAAAACACCATACTAGTAAACACATACACGTTTAGTTTACGGTAGTTCTCTTTTTGGAGGATGTGGTGGCCCTGAAAAGGGCCGTTTTGGTTTGGTTACGTTTTGTAATTTAGAATCTAGCCACCAAATCCGTACAGAGTACGGCCTTGGCGTTTCAAGGCGTAGACGACGTCCATGGCAGTGACGGTCTTTCTCTTGGCGTGCTCTGTGTAGGTGACGGCATCACGGATAACATTCTCTAAGAAAACCTTCAATACACCACGGGTTTCTTCGTAGATGAGGCCAGAAATACGCTTCACACCACCACGACGTGCAAGACGACGGATAGCTGGTTTAGTGATACCTTGGATATTATCACGAAGCACTTTTCGATGACGCTTGGCGCCTCCTTTTCCTAGACCCTTTCCTCCTTTACCACGACCTGACATCTTCGCTGAATTTCGGGGATAAAAAATCAACTGCCGAAAACGTCGAGTCTTCTTTTCTTATACACTGCTTTCGAACGTAAAAGAAAACACGACAATCGGCCTTGAAACTCAGTTTTTCGCGCCCCTTTTTCGTGTTACGTTCTTACAACCGATTGGATATTTTGAAGTGACAATCTCACCCAATAGAATCACTTATAACGGGGTCAATACACTTTTACGCGCCAAATACATGGCGGGCCGATTAGATTACTGGACTCATTCCCCATGTTTCTTTGTAGTCGAAAAAAATGGTTGTCAAAGCATTTGAAATTGTACTGGGTCTACATCTTCACATTCACATGTTCACGTTCTCCATAGCCAAACGGTGCTCACATATTTCTTTCAGTGTTCAATCAACAGTGAAACCATAACGACATAACTTGAAATTTGTTTATTTATTCCAGAGACCAAAGTCTATTAGCCTGGAAACAGGCGGTGCAAAATTCATCCATGCCCTTAGTGACAAATCGCGCTTTAATATAAGGTTTGTTGATAACATGCACAGAGCTTTGAAACCCTATTTCTGTTTTCCCGCGTTTATAACTAAACATCAGTAAATGACCATGCACTAGTGAATGGGTGTGACCGATAACCCCGACTCGCCGAGATTAAAAGTGAAGGTTTTAACCTTGACAACAGACATGTATTCTAAGATTGCGGAAAACTGTTAGTTCCTTGGTTTTCAGAAAATACTAAAAAATAAATGTATGTGTGGTGTCTCATGGAAACACTACACCATACCCCTTGTCATTTTTATTGAGAACATATAAAATTCACCAAGGGATACTACTAGACTCATGGTAACGAAATGACCGAGCTTGAGTACATTTTCGGATTCCACTGCTACAATTGTTAACCAATGAGATTGCTTTAATTTCGACCAATCACAGAGAATGTTAATGGACCAATCACAGAGCTACTGTCCTTGGCTCTTGACCAATCGTAATGCTTATTTTGCAGTATAAATAATGGGCGCCAATATACGAACGCATTCTTGAACAGAAAGAAGAATTCAACATGGCTCGTACCAAGCAAACAGCACGTAAATCTACTGGTGGTAAAGCACCACGTAAACAGTTGGCAACCAAAGCCGCCCGTAAGAGCGCACCAGCCACCGGAGGAGTGAAGAAACCCCATCGTTACAGGCCAGGTACCGTAGCTCTTCGTGAGATTCGTCGTTACCAGAAAAGTACTGAACTCCTGATCCGTAAACTCCCATTCCAGCGTCTGGTACGTGAAATCGCTCAAGATTTCAAAACCGACCTTCGTTTCCAAAGCTCTGCCGTTATGGCCCTGCAAGAAGCCAGCGAAGCCTACCTTGTCGGTCTCTTCGAGGACACCAACTTGTGCGCTATCCACGCCAAGCGTGTTACCATTATGCCCAAGGACATCCAACTCGCCCGTCGTATCCGTGGCGAGCGTGCTTAAATTGTATGCCTAGCATACATGAACCAAACGGCCCTTTTCAGGGCCACCACATCCTCCAAAAAGAGAACTACCGTTACCACCCATCTACCCCATCTGTCATGCATTGTTATTTATCAAGCAAGCAAGGTTAAATAAGTACGTTTCCAAATATACTAGTAGTTCATAATCAAAGATGAACGTTTGCCAACGAACTACATGTTTAGAACCGCACATTCATAAATATGAACAAAGACGTTTCAAATTCTGACAAAGATGGCGTCGTTGCTAGTTAAAACAATTTCAGAATATGCAATCTGTACCACTTTCCCGATAGTGAAGTCACAACACTCTTGGTGTCTACTAGCACAGATTATTAAATGCATTTAATTTAGTCACTGGGTTTTAATCTCGCTCTTCGGAATGAAAACAGCTAAATTGAATTATTTTGGGGGGGGGGGTGCAAGGCTACGTCACAGAACCTTCTAGGTTGGTAAGACGTGCACTACTGTACCATGTATTATTTATGGGAGCACCAGACGAAGAGCCGGTGAAAATTGCTAAAGTCGAGGAAACCAAGCACAAACTCAACTTTGAAGTAATCCTGAGCACTGTTTACTGACAACCAAATTTATATATGTTGCACACGTGGGGGGTAATCTTTTCTATCTCGAAAATCATTTTTTTGGGGGAGTTTTCGCCCTTTGTTTTACCATATGGTTGCCAGGCGGTGAATACCCGGATGTCCGCTCCCCGGAATACCCTATACATAAAATGTTTTTAAAATGCAGTCCCTTACCCTCTTAGTTGGCTATTATCACTGATTTATCGTCGGCGGAGTGATAACCTATCTAACTGCTAATCTGGGGAGAACATGTAATTTTAAACATTGGCTTTTTTAAACTATATATTGACAGATATGATTTATCATGAACTGAAAACTGTAGCACACATCTTAGTATTCATAGATGAAATAATACAACCCTAATAGACATGTATACGTGCCATAACAATGCACATGCCTATTGGTGGTTTTGATTTTATTATCCAAACCACCAATACCTGAAAAAAGGTAATAATTAAATGCATTAAGGCCAAACTATTTTAATAAGGTAGCAACTTTACTTAATAAATTAAGATGCTTGTTGTTACTCTACAAAGTGTGAAGTACGCCCACAGCCCTCACAATAGCTCCATTGTTTGACAAGCAACAATTCTAAAGAAATTCAGTTGGTAGCATCTATAACAGACCTGTCAATTCGCTTGCTACGTTCACAAGTTTATAATAAAACAATGCTTAACAATTGGGGAAAAGGGAACAATGTACCTAATTACGTCTTGTGATTCTCAATTGTTTTTTTTCCCACCAAACAACTGAGTAGTTTCAGCTTAGAGTATAAAGCTTTTTTTTTGCTGACTGCATTCAACAACTTATACAACCAACCAATCAAGCATTACTTGTTCAGTACATCATGATGTGCATAATATATCCTCTGTGGGATTCCACGAGTTGCACTTAAAAATGTCATATGCACACATACTATCCATATGATTACATATTCATAAAGATATGATTTCAAACTGTTGTCTGATCTTGCCTTGAGTTCGCAGTAAAGTTGTTAGCAGAGGTGACAAAGTAGTCTTGTTACTGGTACATCATAAGATGAAGTGTGCATTGCATCTGCACTGCCACTCAGTTTAAATACACCTGTGGTTTAGAGTTGCATTCCCACTTTTAAATCTCTGATTATGTAAAAAATTGCATTTCTTATTTATCGGCGGTCGAAATTGTGGGACGTAATGGTAATTTCAGTTTATTTTCTAAAACCCAGTTGTGGGAAACAGTCCACCAAACATTTACATAACCAGACCAGACTTTATAACGGTATTCATCTAACAAAATGTTTTGAATGAATTAGCAGCACCATAAGTCACGTTATCACTCTCCCCCGCAGAAATCGCTCAGTTTCGTCACTTTTTGGGTGACAGTCCACCACTTTTTCACAGAATAACAGTCACATTAAATCAAATATTTCATTTACTGTGGAATACTTTATTTTCACTGGAATTAATTTTTGCTGAAAAGGCTTTTAGGGCGTTTTGCTTGGAATTTATTTTCACTGATTTTTGATGAGATTAATGTGAAATATAGATACTGGATTTTATTTTCACGGAATCATCCCTTCAGAGAAAATAGCGAAAATAATTTGCAAACGAAAATAAAGTATTCTACAGTATAAAGTATGGATGTAACCTGACAACATCAGTTGTTTATTCGCAGTCGAATAAGAAAAAAAAAAGTTTTATTGCATTTTTGCGAAAACTATTTTTTGCGTTTCTGAAATCTGCATGCTCAGTGCATAAAGTAAATGATTCAATAACAACTCTTGACAAATATATCGCCTAAGTCATTGCCATGCTTGACAATTTTTTTTTTCCTATAGCATTATTGTTATTCTTATAATTCGATGATGTACGTCACATTGAAGATATATGGCACATCGTGAAATGTTTTTGCAAGTGGTAGACATTTTGAGTTATGGAAAAATTACATACCATATACTAATTATGAATACTGTAAACCATTTTATTTTAGCTGGAATTAATTTTTGCCGAAAAAATACAACATTTTAGCTGTTTTGTATAAAGTTTATTTTCACTGATTTTGATGAGTTGAATGTAAAATATTGATTCATCCCTTCCAGAAAAATATTGAAAATAAATTCCAAGTGAAATAAGAACTTTACAGTTCCTAAACAACTCTGATAAATGTACCGGTATAGCAATTTGTAGACCCTAATTGTTTTTGCTTCTAACATGGCTATGCGCCCTCCATCAATCAGATCGTCTGATTCACGATATATATTCTCTGTATAAATTGAGAGAAGTTATTTAGAACACAGCTTTGTCAGCTGATCTTGATTGACAGGAGATTGCCTAAAGAACACACATGATTGGTTAATCTAATGCAACATTTTATTATTGGAGGGCGCATAGCCATGTTACCGGTTATAAAATGACACGCCCTTTATACATTAGTTTAAGTCACTTGCACTCATGACTTCAAAACCATGTATAGATAGTGTCATTTTATAACCTATACTTCTATAGTTTTAACCTTGTATCTCATGAGTGTGGGTGGATACATGTTTTCAACTCCACCAAAACTACAGCAGACTACAAATTACCTGCAACTGTGAGTTCTTTGCACCCTCCATTGTTGACAAATTTTACTACTATACTCGGTACTGTAATACATTTTGTACATTTCATTTTAATTAAAGACCTCTGAAATCAGAATTTCATTTATTGGCAGGGCTTAGATAATTTTTAAAATATAAAAGCTGAGGTTGAAAAGTGAATGCTTTTTTTTGTTTTTCTTTATTTTTTACCCACAAGCATTCCATGGAATTCAATAGTGATACATTTTTTTGTCGCATACTGATCCAACAATCACTGAAATCAAATATACTTGAATTTAAGGTATCATAACTTGATAATGTTTAATTAAACTGCAATTAAATTTTATTCCCAAATAGGATTGCAAATTAATTGATATTTTATATATATGAACTGTGATGTGCAAATCAATGTTTAGTGGTGCTGTACATATTATCTATATCTGGATAAACTGTATAATATTACCATTAATAAATGGACGATAGACCTAATTATAATTGAATGCCTTCAATATCCACAATTACTTTTGTTATACATGCAAAATTACAACATGACATGCCATGCCATGCCAGACAGAGGTCTTGCAAGAATGACAATTACAACATACGATAATATTAAAGAAAATCGGAATTATTTTTATTTGTGAATTAAATGTTGATTAGTAATTATAATTATACTTAGTTACATGTCTTGGTTAAAATAATATGCTGGATTGAAAAAATAATATTTCTATTGATTTTCCATATGTTTATCATATACTAATTTTGCTGAAACCGCATCTTCTATTGCTATACCTGTGAGAAATAAAAACAGAAAATCAACATCACATGTACAATCAAAGAAAGCTTAGAAAGAACTCCTGTGTGCTGAGAGTATTGAAGACATTCAATTAAATTAGCCTTCCAAACAAGAAGCTTGGCAACTAATATTTGTCTGCTTTTTAAGATGTACATTTACAACATAAAAACAATGTGATCCACAGGATTGAAATTTATAATTTAAAAAATACATTTGATTTTACATCTGTGGTTTCCTGTACCACAAGTTCAATTTAAATCTGATATTTTGAGATATCATAAATTGGTCAATAATAGTTAGATAATCAATATTCATGTTTTTCATTATCAATCACGTCTGTGGAAGTATATCAAACTAAATCCTTGCATTGTCTTAGAGAATTTATGTACCAAGTTTCATTAAAATTAGTACTTGAGATATCAGTGGAAAAGACAAAAATTGACTAATCATTATGCAAATTTGGTGATTAATATGCATGGATTTCAACCAAAACCTAATCGAATCTGCACACTAGCCCAGCCCATCTATGCTGCAGAACTCCCAATGTGAGCTTCGCACATGGGATTAAAAAATTAAGAGTACTGTAAAAAGCATATAAATTTGAATTAATAGCGCCCACAGAGATGAAATTTATTTAGCATCACAGTTAAATATTTTATCTTTCACTTCCTCTCAAAATGTTGTCTTTTTATAGCAGAGTGTGAAAAGTTAATGGTGCAATAATATCATGAGTTTGTATGATGTTACTTAGATATAATTGATTCTATAAAATTTTAAATAATTATATAAATAAAAAAAAGTAACGAAGTGTATACAGACTGCACGCATTGTACTATTTATGAAACAATGACAACTAAAAACATCCTATATAGTACTTTATAATAAATAGTGTCTTTTTGTATAATTTTGGAAGTTCTCTCCTATAATGCATTGCATAGATGACATGCTCAGTAGTGAAACAAGCAGCCTCTCGACTGAGATAGCTCCGCTGTTATCAATGCACATTTTAATTAAAGAATTGAAGATATCACAAAATGAACAAATCGGAGAGAGGTTCACCTGTAGTACCTATAAATATAATATCAAAGCAATCAGACTTGCAGTTTTTAAAAATAAGTCGAAAATACAACTTTTTACCAAAAATGACAAAAATATTCACCAAAATTAGAGAATTAAAGATATCATCACGAATTGAAAAAATCCAAGAAAGGTCTACCCAAGGTACATATACATCAAATATCAAAGCAATCAGGCTTTTAGTTTTCAAAAAGAAGTACAACAAGCGACCTTGGAGTTGAAAGAGATCCACTGTAATTGTTTGTGACCTAAAATTCAACATTTTTGAAAAACAATGGCCCTGGTATAGTTCAAAACTTTCACAAAAATAGAGATGTCTTCACGAAATGAACAAATTTGAAAAAGGACCAGTCCATGTGTCTACATGATGAATCTCAAAGCAAACAGACAGACGACTGGTCACATCAACCCATGAGCTCCATTTGCCATCTTTGATGACCTACAAAGTAAAAAGTTGACGCAGACGATGGACAATCACTCATATTATAAGCTTCGCCAGACAAACTCAACAAAGAAGCTTAAAAAAGTTCTCTCCCATATTATAAAAAATTTATAATAATATACCCTGGGAAAAAAAAAACACACCTAAAGATTTGAACACAGTAGTTTTCTCTCTTTGTGCTTCCTTCGTTCCATTTACTAAATCACCGATTTCAGCAAAGATTTCAGCTTTAGAAATGATGACATCACCAGACTCCTTCATCGCAGCTTCTCTACTGTCTACGTGCACCACAGATTTCTGCATCAGTTCAGATGATAACTCTTGCCATTTTATATTAACTGCTCCAACCGCTGTGAAAGAAACACGAATAGAAGATGAATTTAAATCATATCTAAAGTGTTTATTTATACAAAAATTGAATGCACTGTGTAACCACTTTTATTTTTAGTTTCTGAGATAAACGCTTCATATGGAGTTTATACATGTGATTCAATGTGAATATGAGTGATGACCCGTTCAATTTTACTGATTTTTAGAAACTCTAGATAATGTAACAATATGTTCTATTTAGTAACTTTAGATAAAAAGTTTTATTGGTTTTTCCTATGCGAATACATTGTGATAAAATTCTCACTTGAGAACTCTTGTGTATTCACTTGAAACTCACCCACATTGAGAAAATTGTAGTGATCAAGCTAACTACTCCCTATATGTAGTAGAGTTCTTCATATGCAAGGATTAGTTGCAATATTGGAAATTAACAGTATCACAGTAAAATCATTTTTTTTTTGATAACTCTTAAA